TGCTGATATTTAATCTGAAATATGTCTTCGTGCATTGATTTAAAAAGTAAGAGGAATACTTTTGGCCCATTCAAATTTCTTTTGACCCATATAACTTTCCATAGCTTGTATAATTTAGTGGTTTTACTTATTACTTTTGAATATTAGAATATTCTATTGTCACTGGGAACTGAAACCTGTGTAGTATTTCAGATCTTATAATTAATGGGGAATCTATCACCAGATTACATCTTCAACAAACCCTAATTCAGTAAAATAAAAAAATAAATAAGAGTTTAATGCTATAGAACCCAATAAATTCGAAACCCTGTAACTTAACGTTCTTAATGTAGAATAATATAAAGTTTTAAAAATTGAAATAACAATGATCTTTATACTAATGTGCTTGTTAAATAAATACAAAAAATCTTCCTTAATTATACAACAGAAAAATAAAATATTAATTTTAATTAAGGTGAGGAACATACAAAATCTCACTGTAAAACAAATTTACATAATCTTTAAAAACAGAAGTAGTTTAAAAATATGAAAAATATGTACAGAGTAATATAGCTTATGTAGGAAAATGACACATATTTGTACAACACTGTAATTGATCTACAGCTTTTGCTTTTGGGGGCATTTGATTTTATTAGCTGCTGTTTTAATAAATTATATCTAGACATGACAATAAAAGGTTAATGTATTAAGCTTTACAAATACACCAAAATTAAAAGCTAAATTAATTAACTTAATTTCATTATTGTTGTTTTTATTTATAACCTACATTTTGATGATTAACCATGAGCTATTTTTTTTAATTAACAGAAATATGTTAAAATATTGGCATGTTGTTATTTAGTTGACAAAATATGAAGTTATAGATCCCACATTCTTTGAAGGTTTAAAAAGTTTTTGCTACTTATATAGTGTCAATGGTTAATTCGGGTACATTTCAAACTTATTGTTGAGTCTCAAATTTTGCCACTATGACATATTGTTCAACTAGTAAGTTTTACTAAAAATAAGTTTAAAACAGTACCTTTAGATTTTATTCATCTCTAAGACACAATAGAACACAGGCAAGAATTAATTTTAAACATTTCAATAATATCTTAGCCCCCTTTTATGTACGGTAAAATGTTTAACAGAATTAATTTCCTTAAGTTATAGATTTATCTTATACAATGCCTAAGACTTTCAGTCTCTTCTTTAGTTTATTTATGTTTGAATTCCTTTTCAAACCTGACTTCATTCTCTCTTAACTGTAAGAGATTTATAACTGAGTAATGATCATTGACATTAATTGATTCAATAACTTTATTCAATTAACTACCTATTTTCATAACTCTGAATTCTCATTTTCCACAAGACCTCACTTATAGCTATTTTTCCTTTTGTTAATGGGTTGTAAATCGGATTTAGTTAATAAAGACATATGCCCTTCAAAATCTTCATGCTATAAAACAGCAATAATCTTTTTATTAAAGGATGATTTTATATTGTATTGTTTCTGTTTTTGAGGATTTGATTTTAAAAACCCATTGCTTATTTTATAATAAAGTGATTTAAAATAAAATAAGCAGTGCAGATTTATTAGAGTCAATCACTGTAATGTCAAAACTGTTATCATTCAAATATGAAATTATTACTTCATGTGGATACTAATTACCATTAAATATTATAAAAAGTAAGAGTTGAATGAGTGTTTGTTATTTATTTATCACTTGATTGAGACTCACAATATGGCTTTCAAAACCATCCAATAACGAAATTTTGTTTCAATTGCATAACGATATAGTGTTGTGGTGAGGAAAAAAATGTGCATGTACCAAAGACAATCATAGCTTTATATATTTTGAATTTTGTCGTATCTGACAATGGTGCAAATAAGTTTATAGCCGTGCTCTATTGTAATTCCCCTTTTCTAAAGTTAGAAAGCTGAAAATTTTTGAATGTAAATGTTATGGGTTAGTATAAATAAGTAATCTACTATGGAGATTTTTTTTTCAATGCCTGCCTGGGGAATGACTTTTCATCATAAAGGCATTTGAAGGGCAGATTTTTTGGCTACTCTGTCAAGGGCACCATATTAGGTGGACCAACATTGCTCCCACAGTAAGGACAGATACTACAGAGAGTGAAAAAACATCCATGCCTTGCCCTGGATTCAAACCCAGGCCCTTTCTGATGCAACGCCAGTTCCCTGACCCCTACACAGGCCAGTCAGCTCTGCTATGGAGATAATTTTTATGACTTTCAAGGTTGCTTTCTAATTTTCATTCTAGTGTAAAAGAAAGTATGTAGCGCATTGAAAATCACCAGTTTAGCTAGCACAAAATGAAGTTGTATATAATAATTTTGTGCAGTTTTCTTTCCATAATGTTTATATTTTCAAAATTTACCTTTTTCAAATTTATATATTTAAATAATCTTTATTCTGAAATAAAAAATTTCTGTTTCTAATTATTATAGTTCATTTATATTTAAGGGGTATTTTTAAAAAAGCGAAGGTAAAAGTTGTGTCATTTTATCGGAAGTATATACCATGTTTAAATTATATTGCTTTATGAAAATTAAATTTTTGGAAATTTTAGAAGCTTTGCAAGTTGGTCTCGTCAGCAAAATTTCTGATGAAGAAAATCTTGAAAGTCTTGTATGTATTGATTCATTGAACTTTTGCTTAAGATATTTGATCTTATGAAATTTTGTTTAAATGTATTTTATTTTATAGGTTGAAAGTGTCTTGCAAAGTATGTTATTAAAAAGCAGGTGTGTTTTAGCAATGGGGAAAAAGTTTTTCTACGAACAATTAAATCAATCTCTTCCTTCTGCTTACAGGTAATTACCAAAAAAGTTATACTGTCTATTATTGTAACTTAGGTTCTTTAAAAAATTATATTTTTTACTGTTTTTCTCTAATAATCATGAATAGGGAGATCCATTTTAGCTCTAATAACAGGGAGCTCTGTTTCTGTGGTGAAAAACAGTGATATCTGTTTCCTATTTTCTCTAGTAATCAAAATATTTAGTAATCATAAACAGAGAAATTTTCTATATAGAAATTTTAAAAGATCCTTTGTTATAATTTGTTTAAACCCCTCAAATAATCATTTTACAGTACAGTGAAACCTGTTTTTGTGCAGTCCTTTTTTATGCGATTGGTTTTGTGGGATTTTTTTGTGCAATTTATTTTTATGCGGTATATGAATCTTAGCGGCGTTAGCACCAGTTTAATGTTTCCTATCAATGTGCATATACATGTTGTGGGCGAACTCTGATTATGTGGTCTCCTTGACAACAATGCATCTGCACTTCGCGATGCTCTGTTTATTTACTTTCATTAGTTCATTTATTATCGTCCACTCCATTTTCTCTTCTGTTTAAAATTTATTATGCCCTAAACAAGTTGAAGTAAATCAGTAAAAAATCGCCTGCTGTGTTAAAATACTTAGTATTTTAAAATTAAACCGTTATTTTTATTTCTTAAATTCTTGTCTGCGTGTATCTCAAATACTATAAACGCTTCATATTCAGAGTTTTATGCACGATTCATGTGATTAAGGATTCATTTTATAGTGAGATTAAAGGTAAATAAGTTAATTACTTTTCTTTCTATTTATATGTAGTTTTTATGATTTTTATTTTATTTTTTAATCATAAGTACTCCCTTAAATGGACAAGAAGAACCAGATGTATTTTCAAAGTCCGACTTTTTTTATGCGGTCCCTATCCACCACATAAAAAAAGTTTTAGGTTGTATATCGTAGAAAGTTGTTATTATATGTAAGAATTTCTAAAATTTTCAAGTATTTTTTTGTACGATTTCTTTTATGCGGTCCCTATCCACCGCACAAAAACAGGTTTTACTGTATATAAAATCATATTTTGACACTTTATCTTTCTCAATTTTGTCTGGGTAAATTTTGCATGATGTTTAATTATTTTATTAGTGCATTAATTTGCATTGCCTTTATTTTTTTAGATTAGCTGTTTTTTAATTAATTTTGCATATTAATCTTTTCTATATCCTTTTTCACTTTTATCTTAGACCTGTATGGATGATATTTGAATTTGAAATAAGTGACATCAGTTGTGCTACCATTATTCTTAATGTTTAACATTATTTATTACTTAAAAATATTGTTTGTTTTTTCTATTTCTAAAATATTATCTCTACCTTAATCTCATCTAAAGTTGACCTGTTGATATCCTAATAACTTACACCAATAACTGATGTTCTTCAAAATTTCCAAAAAAACATCAAAACAGTTGACCTGTAACTTAAAAGTTGCAGGTCAGATCAAAAATCTTAAAGAACACTTGTAAAATGTTTTTGAAGATGCATTCAAACTCTAGCCCTATCCTCCTTCCTAGGGACAGGGGAAACTTCATAATATCAAACTTGCAGATTTATATTTTCCGAAAAAAAAGTACATATATACCTTTGACCTACAGGTTCTTACATTTTGGTGTACACATGGCACTGTATAAAATAAATTACTTTTTTTCTGTTTATTTTATTTTTTTTAATGGAGATATTTCAAAAAATACATATAAGATCAAGAAAACAGAAACGGGCCTGTTTGATTTTTTGAAAACCCTATTTAAGTACAAAAAACTCAACCTCCTTCCCACCCTCTTAGGCTAGGGTGACTCCCGGATGGAATGGAACTCATGTTTGGTATCATTAAATAGGTTATTAGAAATGTTGAACGCATTTTTTTTGCATCTTTTATATGATATCTAAATTATGAGCATGGTACCTTATTTTCATTTTGCAATTACAGCATTATCTATGAACTAAAAGAAAAATCCTGCTAGTCAAATTGTGGTATTTTTTTCCCTTGAGAATCCAATATGGGTATTTGAAGTTTCCCTTCCTTCTGGAAGGTTGGGTGTCAAGTTTGGTATCATTAAAAGCGTCATTTCACATGTATCTATGCTATTATTTTGTTATATTTCTTTCATTCTTATTATTAATTATTTCTTTAGTTTATTGACATAGTTCTTTATAATCTCATTATAAAAGAATCTCACATTTTGTTTTGATAACGGTTATGTCATAATTAAATCAATAGTTGCGAAATTCCGTAATGATTTTCGGGGGAAATGGTGTTTAAACTATTGAAGACATGTTGGCAACAAGTATTTGCCTTACTCAATAAGTGTAGGCTTAATACTTGTACACTCTCTTCTAATACTTAAGATAGTTTTTTTTTGTTTACATTAAATCTAGATCTTAGATTAATTTTTTTATTAAATACTGGAATGTATTCTGTTCAGGAGATTTTTTTGATTCCCATTGGGTTGTTAATTAAAATCCTCTGTCATTCAAATACCATTAAAGAAAAAGTGAAAACCTAAGCCTCTGCATTTAAATTTCCATAATGCTCTTTATGTATTTTGTGTAAAATTTCTCTTTTGCTCATTTACTCTTGACTCACGGACGTAGATACCAGAAAGATAGAGGGGAAAAATCCCTCTGAACTTTTGGAGATGGGGGATAGTTCTTTCTACAATTTACCACATTTTAACCATTTTTTAAATATATAGTAGTAAAAACATGATATGTGGGTTTTAAAATAAAAACAAAAGTAACAAAGGTTTTTCATAACATACTAAAGAAGTTCCAAAAGGAATGTTTGAATGGAACTTAGCCTAGAAATATTTCCTGCAATTTTAGCAGTCTACGGTAAGAAGAATCATGACAGTAATAATTAATTGCAATAACAGATAATTTATCGCTATATATTCTTTCACTTATTTTAAATAGAAGGTGAATAAAAATTATACTTTCTTACTTTTCCAACAAGAAATATCCTGAATCAGCAGCTTTGCAAGATGTTCAGAATCATATGAATTTTGTGATTTTACTTTTGTCTTAGGACAAAAAGTGCATATCATCTTGCAAAGTTCCTTTACCTTCTTTAATTACCTTTTTACTAATTTTATTTTAAATATTATTCAAATTCCACTAGATAAGTTAGTAAATTTATATTTTTGTACTTAAAGTTAAAATAGTTGCAAAATTTGATTTTTATAAATAATCCTTTTGAAACATTAATATTTTCCTACAGACAGGGTTGCCACTTCACTGAAAGAATAGGGAAAAACTGTAAAATACAGAGAATTCAAAAATCATCTAAAATAACAGAAAATGCAGGGAATTTTGAATTTTTCTTTAGAAATTGGGAATTTTGTTTATTTTCGACTTTAAAAGATGGTGACACTTAAAGTACAATCTATGGGACGATATTTCAGCTGTATTAAACTATTTCATTTATTATTTGTTTTAAGTATGTTCAGCTGTTCCTTTTTGCTCTAAGTTTACCAGAAACCAAAACTAGTATAGTTAGCCAAATACAGTACACCCAAGAGCATAGTGTTTCTGTTTTTCCTCTTCATATACTGTGTATAATATGTGCAGGGAAAAAGAGAATTTTTTTTACAGATTTGAGTGGCAACCGTGACAGAGAAGCAAAGTGTAAAAATTCGTAGAATAATTGGAAAACTTAAAATTTAGGTTAATATTATAACTTGTATTACTTTTGCACACTGTAACAAAGTGCATAAATAAAATCATAAATCCAAGATAGTGATTTTTATCAAAAACTTATAATTTTGATTGATTTTTTTAAAAATTCTTTTTAATTTTCATTTCTTATTAGCTAAATATAAATACTCAAACTTATTAATTTCTTTGCTAATTTCTTACTTCAATGAGCTACTTATACAAAACAGGGTGCATAGCGTTTTTAAAAAGTGCTTAAAGGTGCTTATTTTCGGTTTTCGTTTTTTAAAAAGCCCTTAAAGGTGCTTTTTTCATAGGGTGTTTTGAAAAAGTGCTTAATTTTCCCTTTTTCAAAATGAGATTTTTCCTTTACTATGTTGATTTTCGCTTCGAATTATGCAAAAAGACACAGTTCACATTGTTCTATTCAACTTTTTCTTAATTAATTCAACCCCAATCTATTTCGGC